TCTATTACGCACGCACGCATGTATTTCTCAAAGTAATTTTTCCCCTAAAAGTACGTTCCTGCCCCAGGGACATGGTAATCTGTCCAGTTTCCTAAATAACACTGCAGTTTGAACAGCTTACCTGATCTTCCAGTTCCCTGCAATGAAAACAAAGTAGAAATGCTGTGTTTATGGGTACATTGTAAAAAATACTCTTTCAGTGAATTGTTTATCTTCAGCATTCACCTTCACACTCAATGACAAGAATTTAGTGACGCAGCTGTAAGAATTTTTTAAAAAGTATTGCTTTTAATGTCCACCCCTTTTCCTATCCCCTCCTTTCTGGCAAATGCTGCCATAGTGGGAGAACATGACCCTTACAGTGGGTGCTGACCACAGCAGTCCATGCCCCAAGCTATTGCTGGCCGGAGTGCAGACTTTGTCTTGGCATCACCATCACCATTAGGTGAAGGGGACAAGCGGAGCCTGTCTTTTTGAAAGGGGGTTCGCGTGCTCTTTCGGGTGCCCCTTCCCAATTAGGCCACTCACGCACCGAGAGGTCCGGCAGGAGATTTTTATTATAGGGAGGTGAGCAGGAGGCAGAGGGCAGAGAGAGAGAGAGAGAAGAGAGAGAAGAGGAAGTACTGGGATATTTATAGGGCAGGCAACAGAAGATCCTTCCTTGGGAGAAGCGGTCTTTGTTATCCTATCGCAAGCCAGGTTGTCTTTTGAATTTCGCGCTTTACAATTTCAGCGGGAGAAAGGACTCAGAGTTGGGAAAGAACCCGGAAGTAAGATATAAAATGGCTGGGCGGGGTTATATTTTAACATGTGCAATCTCCTAACACTTTTCTTTAGGTTAATGGGGAAAAGTATTTCATACAATGGGAACAGTATTTTTACCTAAGTTTATATTCATTTAGTCATTCTGTTACTCTTTAGGCTAAGTATTTAGATCTCTGTTATCAAAGAGGTTGGCTTTGGGAATTTGATAGATTTTTTTAACTAAGTAATTTCGGGTAAGTGGCACTTAGAATTATCTGGGGACAAATTCCAACATAAACATATTACAGATTCTGCTCCCACTCCTAGCCTACTAAGTCAGAGTCTTGGTGGGGCCTGGGTATTTTATAAAAAGCTCCTTTTTGTGATTCTGGTAATCATTTTCACTCTAGGGGAGAGTGTAGTTTTGATTTGGTAGAAGCATTAGCTTAACTTCTGCTTAGCCCCTTCTGTACTCTGAGTAAATTCTTCAAAGGTACACATGGTTTGCAACAAGAACAGCTGTCTGCTGCTCTTGCAAGAGCATTCTGAAAGTCTGTTTAAATCTCCTTTTTCCACGGCAGGGAGGGGCCCGTGTTAGAGAAGGCTTGACTCTTTCCCTGTCCTTTGTCGTCATTTCATTCGTGTGCTGTCCCTTTTTACTTCCAATTCATTAGAATAGGTATGAAGAATGCCACAGTAAAATAACACACATTAAATAAGTAACACATTAAAAAGAAGCTAGCCAGGTGGTTGAATGTGCCCCTAAGTGAAAAGTAGAGAGGAAATCAAACTCTTTTTCTCTCCCTTAATTTTTTATGTATGCAGTGATGAAATGGGATTATTTGGGGTTAAACAAAAAACTGAAACTGTCTCTTGGTTAGAAGTGGAGGCAGCAGCAGTTGCCCACCCACATGCTGAGTTTTTCCAAAATAACCCAGGGCCTTTCCAGCCCCACACGTTGTTCTTTTTAGGCTCATCCTGATGTCCTCATTGTGCTCTGAAGCATGGCTGGTTCCATTTGTTATCTTTTTTATACCCTCTTGCTCCAAGCACCCCAGCCTCCTGCTTACATTGCTCTGGCTTGTTTTAGGTCCTCTTCCTTCTTTGTCCTCTAAGGTTCTTTCCGAGCAGGTAGATCCCTCACATAGAAAAACTGATTTTTCCCAAGCTATAGACTGCTAGTATTCACTTAAAACTAAGAAAGAAGAAAAATGTCTTATTGTCCTTTTGTAACAGTTTCTCTTCCCTCCCTAAATATTGACTAGGTATGACGACAGAAAAAAATATCCCTTGTGTATTTAGTTTGAAGATGGAGTATTATTCTGCCTCTTGTGAACTAGCTCTCTAGTCTGGAGAGGGGTCTGAAGAGAAGTGTTCTGAGAGGGAAGGCACGTTTCAGCTGAGTGTTAGAAATGAACATGCCTTCCCTTTATTGCTGACTCAGCTTCTCCAGTATTTGTATTTTGTAACCAGAAAAGCTGTGTGGCTACAGATGGACTAAGTTCGAAGATCATCAGGGCAGAGATTGTCTGTTCTTTTGTTCTATATCCTCAGTGTCTAGGACAGTACTTGCCACAGAGTAGCTGCTCAGTATAAACGTAGCAGTGAAATAAATTAACAAACCACTGAGTAGGAGAGAAGCAGTACACTCAGAAATAATGTACTTTTATAACTTTATCAGTTTTATTATTTGGTTTCCTCAGGAGCTTGCAGTTTCTTCCTATATTGTAACTAGATTTGAGGGAGTGTTCAAGGCAACAGCTGGAAGTGGGAATGGCATAGAAGTAGACCATTCAGAGAGAAGTCGCAGGCTGGACTAGCAGGCAGGAGTCATTCAGTGTTGGGAAGGTTGACCCTGAAGTGCTTAGTGTTACTTCACAGGGAGGGGATGGGGACAGAAGAACCATCACCTAGAGCGTCAGGGAAGTGTGGGGGCCACCTGAGCCATTAGTCCACAGGACCCCCTAAGAACGTTGCACAGTGTGGTGCAGTATGAGGAAAGTGTGCATAGCTGTAGGTAAATAATACTCACTTCATTTTAGTAAAACAAACATGCATTTAAGAAAATAGCACATTTCCATTAAAAATGACTAAAATATAAACATTTTGGTACATTAACAATTTTATCTTTTTTACTAAAAACATCTTTCCTTGAAAATTTGAGATAAGTGTTAGTGACTAGATTGATAAAGAAGTTGGTAAAATGGGCCCTTAACCATGTCACTGGCATTACTCAAACATACAAAGCTGTAGAAATAAAGGATGAGGTGTAAATATAAGACACCACTTACTTGGTTCAGCCCATGTTGATACTCTGGGAATTCATATTTTAGTACCCCTTTGGGTACTTTCCACTTCTCATTTTGTATCTGTCTCATAAAACTCAGCATGTTTAAACATTGATGTAGAAAAACTGTTTTTTACTTAAATTTTTTATTAAAGGATAATAGGCACACAAAGAAACATACTCTGTGAATTGTCACAAAGTCAAGCCAAGTTATCAGCATCTAGATGAAGACAGTGAACATTACCAGAAAGAACCACAGGAGCCCTGTGTCTCTTCAGTCATGAGCCCTTTTCACATGCACCCCACTATCCTGACAGTAATAACATAGTTTAGTTTAAAGCAGTAGTATTACCACTTCTCTGAAAAGTTATGGAGAATACCTTTAGTGAGTTTAAGAGAAAGATGAAAAAAATCACGAACACAAACCATTAACCCTTTGTTTCCCTCTCTGAAGTATTTGTGGCGAGCCATGATTAAATTAGGTCAAAGCGCCTAGGCAGTTTGAGTTTGGATCCTCACGTACTCGAGGACCTTGTTTTTGGAAAAGATAGAAGCTATGTGTTTTATATTTGGCTCTCTTCTGATAAGGAAAATAATGTTGTAGTTTTGACTTGGCTTGGCCGTTTGATTTTTAAATTTTTCATTTTTGCCAGTTCTGTTCAATCATATACCTGTTGAGGAACAGCTCTGTGCCTTGTGCTGAGGTTGATAGATCATTGGAAAATGCTGAAAAAAATGTCAACATGGTCACTGTTCTCAGGATCTCTGTTCTTTTTTTTTTTGGTACCGGGGATTGAAAGGATCTCTGTTCTTAATCTCAGAGAGATTAAGGAAACATACGTATGAGGAGTAGTTGAAAATACGTTGCATGTTAAATTAAAAATTTTTTTATTATAGTAAAAGACATTGCCACTTATCTCCCTCAGACTATTCCCTGTCAGTTTGAGCATACTTGCTGTACCATTCTTGCCATCTGACTCAGTTCTGGAAGTCTTCTTTCATGAGTGTCTATGAAGTGTGATCAAATATACAGTGAACACTACTCCTGAGTGCCTTTTGACAGAAAGGCAGGCTCATAAAACATGTGTCTGCATCCACCTTATTTACTGGATCTGGCACAGTGTAACTTCTGGCTCTTCCCCAAAGTCAAAATGACCATAAAAAGCAAACATTTTAAATCAATTCAGGATAGTAAGACATTCACAAATGTTGTTCACCATATTTTTGATTATACTTCATACATCACTTAAAGAATGATTCATGCTAGATAAGGCCCTAGTGTCCAAGCAAAGCTTTATATAGAGTGAGATTCAGCTTGGTCTTTAATTGGAGGCAGAGTCTGTGAGAGAGAGAAGGAAGTGGGAAACCAAAATAGCAGTTTTAAGTCTATTGTCAGAGAATCTTGTATGTATTTCTAACTTTTGGAGTTGAATATTCAGGTAAGGAAGCACTGGTGGCACATAATTCGTATTTTTAAAAGTCACAAAAGCCAAATTTATTTAATTTGTGAGATAGTATTAAAACTGGATAGCTATATAGTGGAAGAAGAGTTAAACCTCCTATCAAAATTCTTTGCAAATACATCTGTTCATGCAGCATTAAACTTTTCAATATATTATCACTTGGGATTAGGTATTTCATTAGTGAGTTTAGAACAATTGCAGTTATAGTTTTCATGAAAAATAATTGTATAAAAATCAGCATGTGATGAAACACATTTATTGAGGTTAAACTTAAATGTCTGCTACTCTGAGATCAGGTAAAAAGTTTAGAGAGGGTGTGCATTTGGTAAAGAGTGACTTCGGGTTAATTCTGAATAACCTTGTGCCAAAACAAAGTGGCAAAGGATGGTGCTCATTTTGTTAGTAAGTCTCTGTGATGGGTCAGGGGTCTCATCTGTACTGAACATAATGCCTTACATAGGAAAGGCACAAATGTGAAACCATCTTTTCTTTTCTCATTTCTACAGACAGGCAAACACACACTGGGGAGCCCTGTGCTCACGTGACATCAAGAGGAAACGGAAGCCAGTGGCCACGGCATCTGTGTCCAGCCCCAGTGCAGGTGATTATATCAGCTGCCATTTATTGAGCACCTAGTGTGTGTGTCAGGCACTAAATTGTGTGTCTTATATACTCTTTGTGGTAAGTTGGGTTGTTTTAGTCCCGTTGTAGGTAGGAAAACAGACAGAGAGAAGTAATTTGCTCATTTCTCTCTGATCGTGGTCTGTGTGTTTTTATTCTGTCACGTGGTCTTCTAGTGTTTGAAACCTTTTATTCCACCATTGACAGTCTCAGTCAGCTGAACTTTTGTTCTGGCACAGACAGGAAATTAGGTTTGTGTTGCAGTTTGGTCAGCAGTCAGGGAATCACATGGGCTCATTTGTTTTCTCATTTAGGGTACAGTGCAATACATTCCCACTGGTTTTATGTGTAGGACAGTGGTAGGATGTATAGGAGAGTGGTTGTGAATTTCTGATTAAAACAGTTTTTCAGCTGACTATAGTGACACGTACCTATTATAACCCTATTACTCAGGAGTCTGGGAGTTTGAGGCTAGCCTGAACTACATAGTGGGAGCCTGTCTCAGAAGTCATAAATAAATAAAATATAATTTTTCAAATTAAAACTTTTTATTTATTTTTCTGTGAAAAATGAGTTACCAGTTGGTTTAAGCTAAATTAGTGGTTGTCTTCGGTAGGAGATAATGATCAAGAGAGGACACAAAAAGGCCGGGGTAGTGGAAATGCTCTGTTTCATGAGCCAGGCGGTGGGTACATGGGTGTTCACAGGTATATTCTTTAGCTACACACTTAAGACCATGTACTTTACTGCATGTGTGCTATCAGGAACGTTTGATATGGAGTATGCCTGAGATTCTTTCCCCTTACACAGTATTGGATGAGTGTACCTAATCTGAAGTCTCAAAATCAGAAATTTTTGAAAATTCTACACCTTACCTCATATGATGGTTGCATTTAAAACACAGGCACAGTAAAAATGTGTATAAAATGACCTTTAGATTAATGGTGTTTATGAAACATAAGTGAATTTTGTGTTTAAATTTGGTCCCATCCCTAACATATGTGTATGAAAATATTAAAAAATATGAAAAAAATCCAAAGCTTGGAACACTTCTAGACCAAAGCATTTGGAATAAGAGTTACTCAGTCTGTGTTGTATATTATACATAGGTCAGAGCAGTTGATAGGTGAGTAAAGGGTAAATCTCAGGCAAATATGGAACTGTGTAAGTTTCAACATTTTCAGAAATCGTCATCTTTGAGCTTCTCTTTGGGGTGACTGCTTGATGATTCATACTGGATAATCTTAATCACAGGTCTAAGGATTGTCATAAATGTTTATGGTGCTTTCCACATGGCTAGGCCCTGAGCTGAACATTTTATATACATTATTTCATTTAATCTTTGCAACAGTTTTGTAAGATAAGTACTGTCTTTATTCCCATGGCTACATGACAAAACTGAAGCATAAGTTACTTCCTGTCATTGCTTGTTGATAAATTGTAGGAAAAGGTCAAGCTCAGACCAGTTTTTCTGACTCTAGTGCTGCCCTCTTAGACCTTGCAGGTGTTCTGTCTTTGTATACAGTGGAATTGGTTTCAAACTGGGAACCTGCATGAAAACTCAGGTCCTCATCCCATCTGTGATATTAAAACCAATCTCTTATCTTTTTCAGCCCCCCTCAATATCTTTTACTTTGTAACAAAAGAACCATTTGGAAGAGTTTAAATTGTTTATCCTATATTCACGTAGAGAAATGCATGCGGGGAGTTAACTCATTTATGCTGAAGGTTGTAATTTGAATTTTTGCGTAAAATTCATTCATATTATTGAGAAAAAAATCAAGGAATATGAATTTGAAAACTTCTATTATGTTGCATTATTTGCCATTCCAAAAATGAAACACTAGGCATAAAAAGATTAAATTAGACTTCCATTTAACATTGCCCCCACTCAGCCCAACTGCTCTCCTCTCACTTGTTGACTAGGCCCTGCTTCACTAAGCATTTTTGTTTTTTTTCTACACACAACCTGAGTGCCCCATGGAGGTGAAGGACATAGCCTGAGCCTGCACCATCAGTCAGTAGAACAAATGGGCTTGCTCTGCCTAACATCGGGCCATCTCGAATTCCACCTCTTTTATAGAAATGAGTGATGAAGAGAGGTGCGTCTCGCTTTGCTGCTGTATTAATACACATCAGGGGCCAGCTCCTGGCACTAAATCACGCTACTGCATACATCTGTTATCGGACTCTTCACCAGTGTGATGAACAAGACTGCAGATAGAGGCTTCCTTGTGTCATTCTTTATAGGATTTTCCTAAAAGAATAAATAGCTCAGATCTCTGCCAACACTCTCCCCTGTCACTGTGATGAATTCAGCTTCTTTCTTAAGCATGCAGCCACAAATCTTTTCCCTTTCTCCCCTCCCCCACCAGGAGAAAGTTTTTAGTTGAAATTTACTGAATTTAAAGATATTAATAAGGCTAGAGAGGTGAAGAGCAAGAAAGAATGGCATGTCTTCTTTTTGTTCTAATAGTAAAGGGGAAAAAAATCCTTTCATAGGGTCACTAAGTGACAATTTTCTTATGACTTTATGAAATGCATGTGTCTTGTGTGCAGTGCCACACCCTGGATCTTAGTGGGTAAGTGTGCAGACCTGCTTCTGAGGTTATACCCAGGGCAGGAATTTCTCGGTAAGTCTATTTCATGTTGACGTGGACTAGGTGTTTATGCTTTTAAAGAATTCATTTGGAAAAGGAAAAAAAAATGATGATTTTCTATAAAAGTTGAGACTAGCTGTAAGAAATCTAAAGAACTCAGATGAAAACCACATGTCATTTCCTTGAATTGATTTTCTTAGAGTGATAGAGCCATTGGCATGCAAATTCCAGTCCTTCAAAAAGTAAACAGAGGGCTTTAACAAAGGATTGATAAGAGATTCTGTTTGGAGCCTCAGTTGTTTTGGCTATTTTGACCTTCCTCTCCCTGGAATAGGGTTTGTGCCCTGAGAACTTTCAAAGGGTATTTAGGAGTCCATTGGTCAACTAGTTGTGTCCAATTCCAAATACCCAGACAGTGATATTAGGGCTGCATTCAAAAGGGCAGGAATTTTTATCTTTTGCTCACTATTATTCCCTTAACATCTAGAAGAATACCTAGCTCATAGAAAGCCTCAGTAGATATTTGTATGAATAAATTTAGTCTCTTAAAGTTGAAGTAGTTGTTTTTGATGCTATTCTAGTACCATGGTGAATGCTTGTAGAAAAATATATTTATAGCAGATCTGTGAGTATGGAGAAAAGAGAGCTAATATCCATATACTCATTACCCACTTTAAGAAAAAAAGCACATTAACATTAAAACTTTCATCCCACTCTCCTCAGAAGTAATAGTTAACCCTGATGTTTTTATTGTTTACCTTTTTTTGTTTTTAAGTAGTTTTAACAGACATATGTATCTCTAGGTAGTATGTTGTCTAGTTTTCCATATTTCTGAACCTTGTATGATGACTCAAACTGTATGTCATACTTTATGTAACAAGTTTCACTGAGTTTGTTCTTGAGATCCACTCAGGTTTTGTTCTACCAAAATTCAGTCATTTTATCTGCCATATATACTGTATTCCATTGTGTGAAGGTGGCATGCCTTCTTACAATGAAATGTTCTTAATAGGCATTTGGATTGTATCCTGCTTTATGCTGTTGAGAAAAATACTGCATTGTTCTCTTAGGGAACAAGTGCAGATGTTCTAGGCCATCTCATATTCGTTAGGATGACTCTGTCAATAAGTGGACCATCAGGAGTCAGCAAAGATGTGATTGGAACCCCTGTATATTTCTTATGAGAATGTGAAACAGTACATCACCATAGAAAACTATATGATGATTCCTCAAAAGATTAAATATAAAACTACTATATGATCTAGTAATTCTGCTTCTAGGTATATACTACAAAGAATTAAAAGCAGAAATTTAAATACATTTATATACCCATGTTCATAGCAACAGATTATCTATAGTAGTGAAAAGGTATGATGGCACATGCCTATAATCCCAGCATTATGGGAGGCTGAGGCAATAGGATCACAAGCTCAAGCCCAGACTGTGAGATTTAGTGACTTAATAAAACCCTGCCTAAATAAAAAAGGTCTGGAGATAGAGCTCATGGAGAATGCCCAGAGTTCAATTTCCAGTATCACCGCCCCCCGACCAAAACAGATAGAACCCAGATGTCCCTTACCAGATGAACAGATAAATAAAATGTGGTATGTACACATAATGGGATATTATTCAGCCTGAAAACCTTCACTATACAGAAGGGTGTTACAACCTGGATAAAGACAAGTGGATAATAGCTAGGTACAAAAGGACAAATACTACGTGATTTTGTCAGCTACCTAGAATAGTCAAATTTATAAAAACAGAAAGTGGAAGGGCAATTACCAGGATTGGAGGAGGGAGGCACAGGCAGATATTGCTTAGTAGACATAGAGTTTCTATTGGAGATAATCAAAAATTTCTGGTGATAGATGGTGGTGATGGTTGTACAAGATATATGTTACCATAATAAAAGTAACATGCACACACATGTGCACACACGCAGACACTGATTTTTCGAGGATGAGTTTGTAATAATTGTGGTTTGGCAACCATGCAGTAAGGATAGGTATAGTTTTAAGTCTGTTTTCAGTTAAATATGAGTATGTGTTTATGAGTCTTTGTGAATGTGTGAGAAGGAGAGAGATTTGAGTTGTCAAGTATTTCTTGCTGCTGTGATTGATATTCCAAAACAGTTAAAAGTGCAGTCAAGAAACCTTGTATTGGGCTAGGGATTTAGCTCAGTGGTTCCACCTCCTGCCTCGCAAGCATAAGGACCTGAGTTTGATCCCTGGTACCAGAAAACAAAAGAAAACAAAGCTTGTATCTGTGCTGTAGAGTTAATAACTTTCACAATTTCTTATGTTAGCCTACAGTAAGGCATTCACATTTGAATATACTTGTGATGCCAATATAAATATGAAGTAAACCCAGGATAGGTGCAGATGTTTTCTACTTTTCATTGAGGAATAAAAAAGTACTAGTCAGGACTCACTAAGTTGATTTTGTGACCCATGATTTGAAAATTACTGGTGTAGATTGCAGTCCTACGAAAAGAAATACTGTGTAACAGGAGAAAAATCTAAACTTGACTGTGTTTGCTGTTTTAATATATATTCATTTTCAGTGGAGTGATGAAGGGGATGATGCTTTGTATGATTCCACTCAGACACTTAAAAAAGGAGAGAAAATAAAATGGGTACCACAGTGACAAAGAAATGCTACTGCCATTCAGTGGACAGGATCTAGAATGCCAAGTTTTTAAAAACATACAGCGCAGCACTGCACAAGCCCTGATGGTTCTGTCCAGAATGTATTCAGTAACTTTGCTGGTGATAGATGTGCCTGATTGTGTTATTTTTCTACCATTTCCCTTTTTGTCCATTATTTATTGGTAGCTTTATCATACCAGAGGCCTGGAGTATGGCAGAAAGAGTATAGAGTTTGAAGTCCAGTATCCAAATTTGAGTCTTGCTACTTGACTGATGTGGTTGTGTCTATGGATATGTCATCTGATCTCGCTATGTCCCTGATCCAGAAAATGGAGATGCTAATATCTACTCCTAAGGATTTGCATTAAGGAAATCAGGTCTTAAGTGTTTGATGTTTAGTAGTATAGTGCCTGGCACATAAGTATTTATTGCTACATTATGAGGGTTTTTTTTGTACTACTGAATTTACCCATTTGTTCAGTTAAACCCATATTTTCTCAGAGGCAAAGATACTTTATCCTATTTAAATTTGGCCTTATGTTTTCATAAAGATAAAAAGAAAAATGTTACTTGGGTGCTTGGGTTAACAGACATGAAATGTAAGGATTAAAATGTTTTTATTTCCGGGTCAAGGATTTGATGGTTTTGCCTCCTGCCTCGCAAATGCAAGGGCCCGAGTTTGATCCCCGGTACCAAAAAATAGTTTTTATTTCCAAGTGTCAGTCATTCTCATTTCTTACTCTGCTTTGTCTCCCCTAAATGTTTTTTCATCCTTCCTTTCACTGTTGCAACCAGTTCACATGGATGCGGTGGAGCCAACCACACCAGCAGCGCTAGGCCGGAAATCTCCAAATTCTGAGTGGTTGGTCCGGACCTCTGCAGCAGACAAAGCCACTGACTCCACTACAGCGACATTTTTTAAAATGCCACAGGAGAAGAGCCCTGGATGCAGCTAGAGAGCCCAGTTCCCCTCCGCAGCAGCTGACTGAGTGTGTTACACAGTCTTGCAGATCTCAGTGGAGATTCCCAGTCCTTTGACCTCCAGTATTCCAGGACTGACTATTCTTCACACACAGCAGCCAGCTATCTTCAAAAGTCATGATGTGGGAACCTTATTTCTCTTTAATAAGTAAAGTATGGAGGCAGTAGTTTCCTTTTTTTAAAGGTCATCCTATGCTATATGTGTTACATTATTGCTCTCCCACCATTCACATGCAGCTCTTTATAGAGCTGTTGATATCTGCAGATTGTCTTCTTAAAAAACGAGTAACTGCTTTTGAATACCTTTTGTGTACAGCCTTTGGTATCACTTGAGGAAGGCCAAATTTGCAGCCAGTCCAAACAAATTCCTACATGGAATTTTGTCTGCAGAAGAGGCTTGCCTGGAGTTGGTCTCAGTTTGCTCAGAGTGCCATTGAGACGGATATACCAGTTCTCAGTTTGCCTTGAAAGAGACAACAGAAGCAAGGGCTTGGGAACATCTTAAAGTTTTTCTGTGGATGGTCTGATGGGGTCACCAGCAGCTGCACTCATCTTCAGCATTTGTTCTACGGAAAGTGGACATATCTGGATGCATAGATGGGTGTAATAAAGATGGTTTACCTTTTAGAGCTTTCAGTGATACAAACAGCTCACTATAGCATGCGTGCCATAGCTTCGCCACCCCTGGTTTAGGTGTACAGCAAACTTAAATAGTTAGCAGATTGTGTCTTACTACTCCATGTCACAGTGTAAGCCTTTATGTCCTAAGTGGGACTTTATTGTTAGTGTTATATATAGGTCAATAACCTGCAGCAGAACTTCATACTCTATTATAATAATGGCTTCTTGGGGCCATGCTTTGGGGAGGAAAAATGTCTTTTTGACATGCCTTTGTACTTGGCCTGTTTATGACGACTCAGCTACATATCGAGTTATATATACAGTAGTGCCTGAAGTCAGATGCTACTTTGTCAAAATGAGGAATCGGTAACTGCCTGGAGCTGCTGGAGGAAAGCCACACTTTCTAAAAAGTATTACCAAGAGTGTCTGTCATTGAGGGGCCTGGTTGACGGTAGGGCTCTTTTTTGTATGACTTGACCACTTTTACTCTGCAATACTTGGAGCTGTTTGCTAAATTCTTCCTGCTCTGGTCACATGAGAAAGGAACACTCAACTCTGCACCTGGATGTTTTGTTGGATGTAAGTGCTGAGAGGGATGCACCTTCTTTCCCAAAGTGTGATGGTCCACTCCTCCCTCACAGAATGTAATTCATGATGGGTTGCTTTATCACCTTCCCTTTAAAAATTATAGTTCTTAGGCCAGGCGTGGTGGCGCACACCTGTAATCCCAGCACTCTGGAGGCCGAGGCAAGAGGATCGCTGTGAGTTCGAGACCAGCCTGGGCTACATAGTGAGTTCCAGGTCAGTCTCGACTACATAGTGAGACCCTGTCTCAAAAAACAAAACAAATAAAAAATATAGTTCTTATCAGTAGAACTCTAGAATTGCTTTATCAAGGAAGTGGGCGGGTAGGAGAGTGTGTATCTGGTTGGAATGGTGGATTGGAAGCTAAGTTTACATAGCACTTTATGTAAAACCAGGAGCATGTCAAATGAACATGAGAAGGAAAATGGTGGAAGGAGAGGGGAATGGGTACTATGGATGGGTGGGAGATAGTGCTAGTGCCAGCCCAGTACTGTGGAATCATCCCTGGTTGATCGAAGTGAATATATTTTTCAGGGTATCAAGGCTGCAGTTCCTTTCCCTATCGGCTGCATCCACAGAAGTACAGAAAATGTCAAATCTGTTGGATATACAGTAGCACTACTGACTTATTTTAATGAAGGGACATTTTATTGTCATGCACAGTGTCACCTAGTCCCCACAGTGGTCTGTGGCACATATTTCTAACATACTTGGTTGGATTTAAGGAACAAATTTATGGACACAACTCTTTTCTCTGTGTCAAGCTCTGTGGCTCATGCAGAGATTAGTCCTGAGATCTTGGTCTGCTACAGCCTCAGATGCAGAGGTAAAGCCAGCATCTTTTCTTCATGACCTGTTGCCTACTATTCACCCCCCTATTTTTTCTTAACCTATAACTTAAAATAATTTATATATGTAGCCTTATTTACATTTTAAAATTTTCTATGAAGTCATGCCATTTTACAGAGGCGAAAACAGTCATAGAGTTGAGTGACTTGCCCAAAATTATATGACTAAACCTGGACTAAAAATCCTAGACTGGAGACTTTTTTGCCTTGGGTTATACTCAGTTGTTTTTTCATTGGTAGAACTGAGCAATCTGAGACCCACATTTATGAACTTGCCATGAATGTTTATCTTTTTTCTTGGGAATGCTTTTCTATATATTAAATACTTTCAACAGGGATCACCCAAGAATGCAACATCTACCAGAAATAGATGGGAAGAAAATTAGTTGCCTGAGAGAATAGAATATTAAGCACACAAATACTTTCCAACACAGGGTTGTAAATGGCTCTTCTCATTTTAAGGTGCTGAATGTGCATGCATAAGGAATTATTAATCAGTTTATAATGCTTGGTGTTTTAATATTAACCAATTCCAAAGGCTAACCTTAGAATCCAGTGTATTTTAAATCTAAAATTTTAAATTTACTCTTTATATGGCACAGTATACAATGTTATAATTTTTTTTATTTTTATTTTTTGGTACTGGGGATCGAACTCAGGACCTTGCTCTTGAGAGGCAGGCATGGTGCCACTGAGCTCATTCCCCAGCCTTATAATGTTAAAAATTAAGAAAAGTCAAGATATAGTTTCAAAATTTTATTTTGTAATCAGTGTTTTAAAAAAGGGAGCATGGCATATTTGAACTCATGTTTGAGCTGCTGAAGTCTAATTTAAGATGTGTTCCACAGTTTTCATTTCTGGGTTCTGATATATCCCAGCTTACTGCACAAATTGTCTGAATCCTGTGGGAAAAAGTCCAGACATTATCTGCTTGCATGAGGACTATTCATACAAAGTTAGTTTTACTTATGAATATAAGAGAATTTGAGATTATTCATATAAAGTTAGTTTTACTTATGAATATAAGAGAATTTTGGATTCGTTTTCAGATGGAGTATTTTAAAGGAACAACTTCATTTGTATCAAAACTCTTGCTTCTTGGTAAGAATTGAGAAGAAATTTGTAGCTTTATATGGTTCCCGATTTGGAGGTGGGGAGAATGATTTTTACTGAATGGAAGTGGCTGGGAAATAGGCCACATTTACTCTTGAATTCTTTAGAAATTACTTGCAAGTAAACATCTCAGCTGACATTGTGTTGCTGGGCTCTAAACAAGGCAATGCTTGAAGCTGAAGTGGAGCTTCTTAAACAGTTATGCTGTGGATGGCATCCTTAGTTTAAAAAAAGCTCATCACCTAGGACACCTGTCTTCATTTTGGAATTAGAGACCATACATATTCCTTCTACAGCCTGGGATGTTCTAATGATGCCAAGTTATGAAAGCCTCTTGGAGTTGCAAAGTTCCAACAATGTAGAGACAAAGGAGTTTGGCTGACCCAGGCTCTGCTAGTGTGATGGATTCTGCACTCAGTCTCCAGGAAAAGGTTCCTGGTGGTGTATGATTCGTTTTAGGTTTTGCTTCATTTTTCACTTCATTGCTGTGGTTCTGAGCCCCACGCTCCCACTCTACCCTCAGAAGGCTATGCAAAAGTCTCAGCATTTAGAAGCTCTGGCCAGTGTCCTGCAAATCTTGTAAATCTTAGTTGGGTTGAGTGCAGACTGAATTACTCCAGCAGCCGTGGATGCAGTGTAGGTGAAGCTTAGAGCTTGTGCCATTTTTTTGGACGGTGGGAGGGATGGTAGAAGCACTTTGTTCTTGTCCACTGCTTCCTTTGTTGATGCTTGAGACACCAGTTTTGCTTGTCAGTATTTCCTTCTCTCTTGCTCCTATTGAGACAGCAGAGTTACTTCTCCTGACAACAATCGGGACTTGTTCCAGCCCATCAGAAAACAGCAGAAAGAAGAGGTGAAGAAAATGGCAAGTCTCACCATCAGGCACCAAACACACATACCCAGAGATGCCATCTCCTCAGTTCAGATCACAAGAAGATGAATGTCCCATGCCTGGAAACAGCAACACTGAAGAGAAATAAGATCAGCAGTATTTCGGAAGAGTGTACATTATAAGCCCAACAAAATTATTTATGACCAGAAGAACAAATTTTCCTGCAAATAGACATAATCACTTAGCAAAATTGCCAGTTGTGGAGAGTAAATTTTTTCAAGTACAGTATTGAAAAATGGGGCAGATCCTGAAGATGTTTACCATGGAAGGCAAAGGGGAAACACATGGAACAGGGCTTCTCAAAGTTTGGTCCGTGGACCAGCAGCCTTCTCCCTGACCAGCTCTCCTGAGTTAGAAGCACGGCGAGCTCCAGCAGACTCTGTTAACAAAGTCCACAGGAGACTTGCACACTGAAGTTTGAGAACCATGGGTTTGCCGTAGTTAAAAAACTGCTTTTAATGTGTTGATAGCTAAGCTCTGAACTGCTGTTCTGTTTCCCTCTGTAAGTAAAGATGTTTTGTGTATGATTCTTTGCAGAAATTATTAATGTCTTAATCTTCCACATGTCCCCCCACAAGAAAACGATGTGGAGAAAAACAAGTCCCTATTTAAATGGATAGAAATACTTTTTTTTTTTTACAATGGGTAAAACTATAGCAAAGAAGTTGTAGTCTTTGGTGGTCCTTGTTCATAATTGACAGTAAAAACATTTAAGATACCACCACCCCCGAGTTTATAGTATTTGTCTGTTGTATCTTAGTTTCAAGGCAAAGCATCATAATGACTTTTTGAAAGTATGGCTCATAAAATGGAAAAAATAATTGGAAGAAAAAACTATCTTGGGTAAACAGCAGGTGTGTAATAAATACCTGTTGAGTTTTTATAATCTTCTAGGACTTAATCTCTACTTCAGAGCCTGTAAAAGTCAATTTTCTGCAATCCCACTTAATACTTGTTTTACATTTCAGCTATTTGAGTGCAGGGGTTAGAAACCAATAGGCAGTATGCTAATTTTGTTGTCTGGCTCAGGGATTAAGTGTTTCACAATATCATATCCTAATCTTAATTTTTTTTGAAGACGAGATCTCATTGTGTAGTTCAGGCTGGTCTTGAACTCACTATGCAGCCA